AAGGAAAGTGAACAGGACAAACTCATCGTACAAGAAATACTAAAAAATTCCTCAAAATATTTTTAACTTACTGTTTCCTTATGACAGGTCTTGTTTGGTGATTTTCTCAATAATTTTATTGAATCCTTTAAGTGCGAGAGCTTAAGCAAAGGCATTTTTTGGGTGATAAATGGCAACCGGACTTTTTGCATTTTTGGGCAGTGATTTTACCTAAGTTTTCAGGCAAATAATCTCTACAAAGAATAAAGACAAGGAGCGATACAAATTAATATGGTAGTGTCAAGGCATGTAAAAAAGGGAAAAGCAGCCTTACTTCCAGTTAGCACCTGTCGCTCAAAACTGCCTCAGCTGTGTTTAAGTTGATGTATTTCTAACTCTTGTTTCTGCAAAAAATCTATGGATTCCTCTTCCCTCCCCCTTCTTCCCCTTTTTAGCTCTTGCTCCAACTTTCACTCAATACATTTGTAACTCCATTAGAAACTTGGCTATGTAAGCTAGTGATGAAGCTGCAAGGGTTTTGTGCCAGTAGAATAATCTCACATGTACCTTTAAGGCGCATTCTAGAGGGGAAAGGATTAAGTAAACATAGCTGTCACTTCATAGTTGTAACCATTAAACATATATTTTAACATACTGAATCAGTACTTTCTTAACAGCAGCTGATGAGAGTTTCCCCTTTCTATTAAAATATTTAGCGGCATGCAAGGAATTAGGAAAAGCATGAAAATGTACATTCAATATTTTGGCTGGATAAGAAATGTTATTTCATGTTGCCAGTTTATATGAAAAGAGTTATATTTATTGTGTAATATTTTCCAGTGTTAAAATAATAATTATTTGCAGCAAAATATATTTTGAAGATTGTATTGTGTCTTTTGACAAAAGATGTGGCAAGTTTGTCATTCCAGAAGTTTGCTCATACCTTTCATTGGTAGCACAAAGTTTTACTTAGAAAATAAAATTTTAATGACACTTGTAAAAGTTGTGAAACTGCTTCTGAAAATGTAGCTTGTGCATCTTGGCTAGTCTGACAAGTGACCAATCAGATACCTTTCTCATATTTCTGAACTTATCAGCCTACTCTATGTCTTTTTTGCACTCTTGCCAAGATTCACAAGTATGTTCAAAACACATAATTCTGGAGTTTAGAAACAGTCAAAAAGGAACAGCTGGCAGGATCAAAACTTCAAGAATTGACCAAGTACCATTAGAAGTGTGGAGGCATGTGTGGCCGAGTGGTTTTAAAACACCTCGAACTCTGGATCTGGAGGTCCGGGGTTCAAGCCTGGCCTGTCACGTTGTTTCCGTAGACAAGGAACTTTAGTTTGTCTTTCTTCACCCAAGTGTATAAATGGGTACCTGCGACATACTGCTGGGGGGTAACCCTGCAATGGACTAGCATTCTGTCCAGGGGGGGAGTGGCAATACTCCTAGCTGCTTTATGCTAATAAAATCGGGATAAGCTCCGGCCATTTGGGCCTTTGGCTCGTGTGCGCCTTTACCTTTCGCCTTACCATTAGAAGTGTCAAGCCCTGTAAGATGAAGTGATACCACACAAATGTGATGTTTTACTTCTTTTTGCAAGTGAAATACAGCGATGGATGTGATACAATACTGTTTTTAATCATCTAACTATTCTTTTCGTGGATTAAAAAATGGGATACTGGTAATTTATAATAATTCTTTGTTATGACGCAATAAATTTGACTATACCCTTTTTATTCAAGATCTAACAGAGATCAGGTATTTAATTCACCAGGGTGCACTTAGCCTCCCACGCAGGTGTTTTTAGGGGAGCTCATATTAAAATTTTTATCCCTCCCCACAAACGCCTGCTCAACTGAGAACGACATTTCTTTTCCACTCTTAGCCAATTACATTGTACCTTCCAAATTCCGCAAAGACACATTCTAGCTTTTCAAAAAGATAGCAAATAGCAAGACATGGCCACTTCTAATGACTGTGTTCCCAAGAAGTATGCCAACCAGTCTCAGCAGAGTTAACCTGGCACCAGGCTCCTTGGTGGGAAAAAAAGGGAAAAATGGCAAGTGAAGCAAACAGAAAGAGGGATGAGGGAGGGGAAAGGGCCATGCCGTCACTTCCCCACTTCCATTGTTTTTCCCCGCTGTCTGCTAGCAGTTTTCAGCCCCCTTTTCCCCAAAAAGGAAGGACTGTTCACAGGCTACCCAGAGTTAAGAACGCATGAACAAACAAACAAATAATTGCTTTTTTTGCACAGCACAATAACATTTGTCCCAGAAATACGTCTTGATCTAAGGATTACAGCTTTCTTAGTCCATCTCTTTTTGGATGCCTTTCCAGATCTCTTGACTAAAAAGTATAAGTGACTTTCATTAAACATGAGCAGCTAAATGCAATAGTCACTAAGGCACAGTGGCATAATTTAAAAAATAATTATGTATTCTGAATTTCTGTAGATGACTGAATGTCAGTCAAACTTGAATCCTTTCCTTGTTAAATCTTCTCTTGCATCTTTTATCTCCTACAAGACAGAAAACCAGCAAGACTGGTTAAAAAAAAGCTATAAAGATGCCAAAACAAAAGAGAGAACATGGAAACCAAGAGAGAATAAATTCTCTTGTGGAAGCTTTTTATACTTACTTATTCATAACCACACATTGTCACATTCATAATTTGCAAAACATCAAAATAGGCCTAGTTGGCAGGGGGTAACAAGGATTACTCCCTCAAAATACTTTGTACAGTGCAAGTATGTGAGCATGTACATGTACCACCCCATGATTTTGAGATTTCTGGTCTGAACTAAACTATCAATTTTCACAGAATCATCTTCTAAAATGAGATTCAAATATGAAGCCCTTGTGGTGAGGGGGGGGGGGGTAACACCAAAAACCTAGCAACTCATTGGAATTCTTGATGAGTTAACTGAACACAAGGAAGATTCACAGCAAAGAACTTGGGCTGTTCATGAAGACGAGGGAATTCTTCACAAGCTGCTTAAGAATTTGTTAAGCATACTGGTCAGTTTTTTAACAGGGTAAAAAAAGGAACTTAAGGCCCCGCATGAGGCTACATTGCATAATAAATATTTTTGTAAAAATATTAAAATTCTGCTTTTTCTTGCCCAACATTAAAATGGCATCACCCCACAGGTTCAAATCTCTGCCTTACTTTATAACATGTTTTACTTGAACATGGTTTGTTTTTGTATTCGAACTTGGCTTTTGCTCTATTCTAACATAATGATTGTTAACACTGGCAAATTACTAAATAATATTTGAAAAATTTTATTTATGAAGACATTGTGTGTGAGAGAATGTGACTCATGGAATAACGATTCAGCATTTGCTCAGATATTTTCAGTGACTCTATTAAGAGGTGTATTTAAAATAAAATTCCATTTTTTTTCAATAAATTATTGAAGCTAAGGGGAAAGGTTGCAATTTTATGGGAGGTACTAATTCAATGATTTAAATTATATATTTCACAACTAATGTATTTCGCTAATTTTGTGAATGCCATTTAAATCTTTGAATTAGTTTTTAATAAATTATCCCTTTCAAGAAAGGGCCATGTCAGAAACAGTTTTGCACAACACAAGCAGGATTCTTGGGATTCTAGATCATGAGTGATTGACCATGTCTATTTCTTTTGTTGTTCTAGCTGGATGCCGACCCCACTGTCTGTCGAGCAGTACTAAGACAAGATGACTATGAATACATCAATATGCTTGTTGTCTATTTTCAAATGGTTAGTTCTTTTAGTTAGGCACCTTCTTGCGTAAATTGAAAAGTAAAACAAAAATTATATAACTTGACTTGTTCAGATAAATAATGTAAAATTTTTAGTGGGGATGCCCTATAGTATTGGTAGTGATAATAATAGTGATAAAGATAATGATTTTTTTATGATGATTTTGCTGTTAATGAACCCTGCTAGTTTGTCTGAATGGTCTAAATGACTGAAAGTATAGATTTATTTTGGTTAAAAAACATGGGTTCCATCAACACCATCAGGAGTGTATGTTTTTTTATTCTGCAGGCACGCTCATAGCCTGATTCTCAGATGCCCAAGGTCGTTCTCGGCCCCTTCGCTTCCCTTGACTTTAGCCATAGTGTTTAGAGTAAATTATTGATCCTAGTGAATGGCTTACAATGTGCTGTGCTTTTAGGCTTGGCTTGATCTATAAATTACATGTTTTCTAAAAAAATATTAATAGGAGGTACTTTTTACATGTCTCTGCTGGTTAAAGGACAGGTCATTATGTTACAGATAAATAGACAGGACCAAAGTGTATCCTGACCCTAATCAGTATAATCCAAAATGTTATGGTAGATTGAAGGGAAACAGTTTGGCTTTATTAGTTACTTATTGATAAAACAGTGGCCTGTAAATTATTGTGGCTGGTAGAATGTGACTTGTTTGAGACTGAAACTTCCTTTCACTTTTATGCATAGCTTTATCTGTTGAAGTAGAATTCTGACTATTAATCTATTACTTTATATTTGTTTCCTGGCAGGAACAAAGGCAATCCCTGCGTGAACAGTTGATTGAAATATTTGGCTGCATGTGTGGTTTGGAGAAAGAAATGTTATCACAACTGTTGTGTTCTGTCTTACCTGCAGAGCTGGCCATAGAGGCTATGAACAAAAAGGAGGGTAAGTAAACAATGACTGTAGCCTGG